CAACTTTAAAAACTTCTCTCGGCTATTTCTCTTTTCATTTGCCACTACAGAGACATATATACATGTACATGTCTCTGACCACTATGATCTAGCGTAAAATATACCAACAATACGCATGTGTCAATTTGTTTAACCAAACATAAAGTATACATTTTTATACGACCGCAAAAACATTTTGCGGTCGTATATTGGTATGATGTTGGCGTCGTCGTCGTCTGAAGACACATTGGTTTTCGCACAATAACTTTAGTTTAAGTGAATAGATCTCTATGAAATTTTACCATAAGGTTCAATACCACAAAAGAAAGGTTGGGATTGATTTTGGGGGTTATGGTACCAACAGTTAAGGAATTAGGGGCCAAAAAGGGGCCAAAAATAAGCATTTTTGTAACTTGCAGACAATAACTTGTGTGTTAGTGTATGGATCTCTCTGACATTGTACCACAGGGTTCCATATCACAAAGGGAATGCTGGGATTGATTTTGGGGGTAATTGCCTCAAAATTTTAGGAATTAGGGGCCAAGAAAGGGAGAAAAACAAGCAGTTTTCTAGTTTCATGACAATAACTTGTGTGTAAGTGAATGGATCTTTATGAAATTGTACTACAAGGTTTCATATCATAAAGGGAAAGCTGGGTTAGAGTTTGGGGGTAATTGCCCAAAACGTTTAGGAATTTGGGGCCAAAAAGGGGCCAAAAAAAAAGCATTTTTATAGTTTCCAGACAATAACTTGTGTTCAAGTGTATGGATCTCTCCGAAATTGTACTGAAAGGTACCAAACCACAAAGGGAAAGCTATGATTGAGTTTGGGGGTGATGAATCATAAGGGGGTTCAAAATATTTGGGGGGGGATTATTTTTTTCCTTTTTTTTTCACTTTTTTTCCTTTTTTTTTTCTTTTTAAAATTTTACATTTTAAGTTGGTTATTTTTGATTTACATATAAAAGCAAATAATAATGATATGGTTTGATTTAATCAAAAATTGAAATATTGGGGTTCTTTGATATGCCGAATCTAACCGTGTATTTAGATTCTTAATTTTTGGTCCTGTTTTCAAATTGGTCTGCATTAAGGTCCAAAGGGTCCAAAATTAAACTTAGTTTGATTTTAACAAAAAATGAATTCTTGAGGTTCTTTGATATGCTGAATCTAACCGTGTATGTATTTAGATTTGGTAATTGGACCATAATAGGTAAATTAAAATTTTTTAAGTTCTTAGACAGTATTCGTTCTGTGTCAGAAACCTATGCTGTGTCAAATATTTAATCACAATCCAAATTCAGAGCTGTATCGAGCTTGAATGTTGTGTCCATACTTGCCCCAACTGTTCAGGGTTCGACCTCTGCGGCCGTATCAAGCTGCGCCCAGCGGAGCATTTTATTGTTTGAACAGATGACAAAAACAAATTATTCTGAATCCAGATTTTCCTCATACCTTATAGTGTTAAATTTTGAAAAAAAAAATAATTTGATTGATAGCGTCGAAAAACTAAAAAAAAAAAGCTCGAAAACTTTTTTCTGACTTTGACAAACAAACATCCCCCCACCTTTTTGAAGTTAAATGGTTGCTCCCTTACAGATGAAATTAAAGAAGCGCAGAAAAACAGAAATCTATATCACAAAAGTGTGGACTGGGTCAGATTTTGGAGAAACAAATGCAAGACAACTAATAGAAAAATCGAAATTAAATTACCATGATCATTACTTCCAAAAAAATATAGAAGAAACAAAGAACACAAAGAAATATGGAAAGTTTAAAAAAAACTAAATCCTAAGCAACAAAATCATTTCCCATCTGCTATGAGAATTGAAAATGAAGTAGTGTATAATACTCCAGAAATAAGTAATATTCTTTATACTTTCTCCCAAATTTGGAATATGTCAACTAATTCTAACAACATGGATAACAATTTTGAAAACTTAACAATTATGTTCAATCAAAAGTCCCAAGCCATGTTGAATTTAGAATACCTTTTTTCAAAAGTTGATGAAACAAAATTTTTGCCTCATAAATTAGATATATCAAAGTTATAGGACTTGATAACATTAGCCGTATTTTTTATCTTATCTACAGGAATAATGGCCCTTGTATTACATATTTAATCAACCTCAGCATATTTGAAGGGTCTTTTCCTTCTTCTTTGAAGAATTCGTAAAGCATTCCTCTTTTTAAAAGTGGTGATAAAATGACACCAGGAAATTATACCGACCAATTTCCTTATTGCCTCCGCTCTCTATTTTTTTGGAATCACAATCCGGCTTTCGCTCAAAGCACTCAAGCCATACAGCCCTTACCAATTTGATAGATAACTGGTCGAAAAATATTGATACTGGTTATCCCAATGGCTGTGTATTTTAAGATCTAAAGGAAGCTTTTGATATGGTGGATTATAATATGCTTCGTTGTGATCCAAGGCTCCGTGTTGAAGGCCGTACTTTGACCTATAATTGTTTACTTTTTACACATTGTTACTTGGATGGATAGTTGTCTCATTGGCACTCATACAACATCTTCTTATTTTCATATGTCAAAAATTAAGATGCTACATGTACAAGATCTCAATTTTTTCGCTTCGTTGGTTTGAATTTTATAATCTTTCTTTAAGAACACAGAGGGTTTGCGTTGGACATTCTCTGAGCTTGTGGAATTTGGAGCGCTTCAAGGATCAATATTGGGTCCTTTTTAGTTTATTTTGTTTATAAATGATTGACCATTAGAAAATATAGAATGTCAAATTGAAACGTTTACTGATGACGCAACTTTTTCTATCAATTTTTATTCAAATCATGATCTCAATTAAGCAAACATTTGGTGTAATAGAAACAACTTGGCATGTTAGTTCATCCTGCAAAAACCACAATATAAAAATAAGGAGATGAGGTATGATTGCCAATGAGACAACTATCCACAAAAGTTCAAATAAAGTGGATGTAAACAATTATAGGCAATCGTACGGCCTTCAGCGATGAGAAAACCCCATACCGTATAGTAGGCTACAAAAGGTCCCGACATGAAAAATATGAAACAATTCAATTAAGAAAACTAACGGCCTAATTCATAATAAAACAATTTACGAAAAAGAAATATGACAGACATGAACCACTGAACTACATGCAGGCTCCTGACTTGGGACCGTCACATAAAGAATGTGGCGGGGTTAACCATGTGTGTGAGCGCTCAACCCTCCCCTGACCTGGGACAGTGGTGTAACAGCACAACATAACACAAACTATAAAAATCAGTTGAAAAAGGCTTAATAACATAAACGGTACCAATTTTTCTGCAACAGATGTGCATTTCGACAATCAATGTCTCTTCAGGGATGCTCGAGGCCAAAATATTTGAAAATCCAAAGCTTATTAAAAATATGAAGAGCTATAAACATATTAACTCATCAGATCGATACAAATCAGAAAAAACCTCAAAAATAAACACAGACTGGACGTGGCAGGGTATATATTCATTCCTCATCCCTAACAACAAAAAGGACACTCAGTACAGATCTGAAAGTACTCGCAGTTACTGACATCTAGTTCAAAGCCAATAACAACTAATAAAACAAATCATGTATCTAAGACTTAAATATCAATCAGTACACATGTAACATCCAATACAAGTATGCTGATAGGTACTCCCCAGAGTAAAACTGTATTGGACAAGCAAATAAATGTTAGTATAGATAATAAAATTATTCAAACTATGAATACAAAAAATGTATTAAGAATTAAAATAGATCACCTTACTTGGAAAGAGCAAGTTAATCAAATTTCTAAACCATTAGCTAAAGATTGTTTATTTTTGCAAAAAATAAGAAATACTTAGACCACAAAGTAAAATTTTATTATATTATCCTTATATACTACCAATATTTGACTTCTAATGCAAAGTATGGGGTAATTGTAATGAAAAAAACCTCCAAAAAATTATTCAAACTTAAAAAAAAAAGAGCAGCAAGAATAATTCTAGATGTTCATTTCTTTACACAACCTAGAAAACTTTTTGACAGATTAAAATGGTTAAGTTTCCGAGACAGAATTTCATATCATAAACTAATTCTAGTAGATAAAATCTTACACAATAAAACTTGTAATTATCTGCAAAAGTTGTGTGTTCAGAACTCTGAAATTTATGAAAGCAAGTTAAGATCCGTCTCAAAAAACAATTTGGTAACTACTCGACCAAACACGAATATAATCGAAAAAAAAGCCTTTTGCATACAGTTCTGCAATTCTATGGAATAGCTTACCAACGAACATAAAAGCATCAACATCTTAATGTTTATTTAAATATAAAAGCTTCAAATATTTTCGTCAATCCACACAGAGATGGATTAGTAATTAAATGAACACTATGAATGATATAAATCTTATGTATATTAACTGATTGTTTTTATTGTTTGATTGTATGTACTTCTTTTAGTATATCATGTTGTACTTTAAGGGACCCCAAGTTAGATAATTGAAAATTATTATTATCATTATTATTATTATCATTATCATTATCATTATCATTATTATTATTATTATAATTCTTATTATTATTCTTATTATTATTATTATTATTATTATTATTATTATTATTATTATTATTACAAATATTAGTGTATTCTGAAATAATCATTAATGTACATGTACAAACATGTTAACATACTTAAAATCAAGACACTTTTTTTTCTTAATGAGAGATAATCATTGTTATATTTCGCAGTGATATGTCTATTATGACTGGCGATCTGCTGCTCAACAGTGTGAACATATGCGTTACATAACCCTGTATGTTCACATTCATTCGGTTAAAATACAAACAAATCAAAAAGGTTATAAAGGAGAGCCAGCAGATAAGCTTATAAAAAATTAATAATTATCAAAAATTCTGCATTATATTTCATATCGATATCTGTAAAACAAGTGTGTGTTAAATGGGTACGTTGTTAAATGCGTTTTAGGTTAATACGGTTTGGTAATTAACTATTTTTTGCGACACTCGTAATTTGGTCTCACTTTCACTTTCATTGCGTATTTAATGGTAAACACAAGAGGGGCATATTACAATATTATTTTATTGGTGTATTAATGATACTTACAGAATGTAATCGACAATAACAGTATCTATTTAAGATCATTTCTTGTTGAGGACGAGGTACATATATAAGTATTTTAGTGCAAATTATTCAAAAATTATGTCCCACTGGAGGATGAAGATTAAAAATTATATAAGTTTAAAATTATATTTATATCAGTTGTAAATAATTCGGACAGAGCTGTGTATTTTTTAACATCCCCAACTTAACTGAATATGACCACCATTTTGTGCTGGATGACAAAAATCTCTTCTGAATTAGTTTGTGGTTTTGGTCACTTGAGACTTGAATATCTCAAGAGACTTTGCTGTGGCAGTATCTGGGGGCAGTTTGTTCCAATCCTTGACGGTGTTTATGAAGAAGGACCATTTCCTACAGTCTTTGGTGGCTGGCTGTAATAGGTAAGTATGTTGTTCTGTCCAGTTTGAGCTTCTTGTTGGTTTTTGTAGATATTTATTCTTGTCTATGGCTACAAGGTCGTTTGTTATTTTGTAACACATGATGAGTCATGCTTCTTTTCGTCTTGTTTGTAAGCTTTTCCATCCTAATTCATTTATCATGTTGCTGACACTTGATCTATTTCTATGTCTGCTGGTTACATATCGTGCATCTCGTCTTTGTACCTTTTCAATTTTATCTATGCGGTTTTGCTGGTACGGGTCCCATACTGTCGTGGCGTATTCCATTTGCGGTCTTACTAATGTTTTATAGGCATGCTCTTTGATGGATTTTGAGCTAATGTGGAGGTTTCGATGTAGGAAACCAAGGCTTCGGCTGGCTTTTCCTGTGATGTTGTTTATATGTTCTCCCCAATCTAGATCATTTGCGATGGTGCAGCCTAGGTATTTAGTTTATGTTTCATGCACCAGAGTATGGCCATGGAGTTTATAGTCCCACTTGATTGGCTTTTTCTTTTTTGTAACTGTGAGGACACTGCATTTTTCAGGATGGAACTCCATTTTCCAGAGTTCTTCCCATTTTGCCAGTTTGTCCAGGTCTTCTTGGAGTGTATGGCAGTCGCTGTCTGATGAAATTGTCAAATAGACCACAGTATCGTCCGCAAACAGTCTCACTGTGGAGTGTAAGCCTTCTGGTAGGTCGTTGATGTAAAACAGAAAAAGACTGGGTCCTAATACTAATCCTTGCGGTACTCCAGATTCTACTTTTACTTTGTCAGATGTTTCGCCTTCAACAACTACAACCTGGGTTCTATTGGTGAGAAATTCCTTTATCCATTTGTTTGTTTTACTTCGGATGTCATAATGGTGTAATTTATTGAGGAGTAAGCTGTGGGACACCTTATCAAAAGCTTTTGAAAAGTCAAGTATTAGCAGATCTGACTCTTATAAAATGAATATAAATATATAGCAAATTTCCGAACTTCTTCTTCCGTCCACCATCTGGCGTATTATATCTTCAGAGAATAATGAAAAGCTCCATAACAAAAAGGTATATTAAGAATTAAACCTTTGGCAATTCTGCTTCTATTGTTCATTATCTGAACAAAAATCGAACCAGAAATGAGCATACAGCATGTACAGTAAGTTTTAAATAAACATGATAAACACAGTTTACAAATGGTTTATAAAAATTTAAAGTCATGATAGTGAGAAAAAAAAACCTGATGAATAATTATGTATGTATGGCCATGCATTTTTTCTTAATCTTTTTTGTGTTTATCATTTGTATGTCGGTAACACCAGTGGCATAAACTTCAACATTGTTCAACGTGTTGAAGGCAGTCACTACAAACATGACAAAGTAGACATGGTAGAAGTATAAAGTGGAATATCACAGTTCCAAATTGCACAAATTTAAAGTACAAAAAATGTACCAAATTTGCACCCAAAAAATCTGATAGATTTTCTTAAAGACTAAACCATGTAAACAATGCATATTTTAAAAATCTTCCATAAGGCAAAAAAAAAAAAAATGTGTGTTTCCGGTTTCCCGACCGACCCTATTTTTATACGACCGCAAAAAAAATTTTGTGGTCGTATGACGTTGGCGTCGTTGCCATCGTCGTCGTCGTCGTCCGAAGACACATTGGTTTTCGTACTCTAACTTTAGTTTAAGTGAATGGATCTTTATGAAATTTTACCATAAGGTTCAATACCACAAAAGGAAGGTTGGGATTGATTTTGGGGGTTATGGTACCAACAGTTAAGGAATTAGGGGCCAAAAAGGGGCCAAAAATAAGCATTTTTGTAACTTCCAGACATAACTTGTGTGTTAGTTTATGGATCTCTCTGACATTGTAGCACAGGGTTCCATATCACAAAGGGAATGCTGGGATTGATTTTGGGGGTAATTGCCTCAAAATTTTGGGAATTAGGGGCCAAAAAGGGGAAAAAAACAAGCATTTTTCTAGTTTCATGACAATAACTTGTGTGTAAGTGTATAGATCTTTCTGAAATTGTACTACAAGGTTTCATATCACAAAGGAAAAGCTTGAATTGAATATGGGGGTAATTGCCCAAAACGTTTAGGAATTTGGGGCCAAAAAGGGGCAAAAAAACAAGCATCTTTGTAGTTTCCAGACAATAACTTGTGTTCAAGTGTATGGATCTCTCTGAAATTGTACTGCAAGGTACCATACCACAAAGGGAAAGCTGGGATTGATTTTGGGGGTAATTGCCTCAAAATTTTAGGAATTATGGGCCAAAAAGGGGCAAAAATCAATCATTTTTCTAGTTTCAGGATAATAACTTGTGTGTTAGTGTATGGATCTTTATGAAATTGTACTACAAGGTTCCATATCACAAAGGGAATGCTGGGATTGATTTTGGGAGTAATTGCCTCAAAATTTTAGGAATAAGGGGCCAAAAAAGGGGTAAAAAAAACACATTTTTCTAGTTTCCAGACAATAACTTGTGTGTAAGTGTATGGATCTTTCTGAAATTGTACTACAAGGTTCCATATCACAAAGGGAAAGCTGGAATTGAGTTTTGGGGTAATTGCCGAAAACGTTTAGGAATAAGGGGCCAAAAAGGGGCAAAAAATAAGCATTTTTCTAGTTTCCAGACAATAACGTGTGTTCAAGTGTATGGATCTTTATGAAATTGTACTACAAGGTTTCATATCACAAAGGGAATGCTGGGATTGATTTTGGGGGTAATTGCTTCAAAATTTTAGGAATTAGGGGCCAAAAAAGGGGCAAAAAACAAGCATTTTTTTCTAGTTTCATGACAATAATTGTGTGTAAGTGTATGGATCTTTCTGAAATTGTACTACAAGGTTCCATATCACAACGGGAAAACTGGAATTGAGTTTGGGGTAAATTGCCCAAAACGTTTAGGAATAAGGGGTTAAAAAGGGCCAAAAATATGCATTTTTCTAGTTTCCAGACAATAACTTGTGTTCAAGTGTATGGATCTTTCTGAAATTGTACTACAAGGTTCCATATCACAAAGGGAAAGCTGGAATTGAGTTTTGGGGTAATTGCCGAAAACGTTTAGGAATAAGGGGCCAAGAAGGGGCAAAAAATAAGCATTTTTCTAGTTTCCAGACAATAACGTGTGTTCAAGTTTATGGATCTTTATGAAATTGTACTACAAGGTTCCATATCACAAAGGGAATGCTAGGATTGATTTTGGGGGTAATTGCTTCAAAATTTTAGGAATTAGGGGCCAAAAAAGGGGCAAAAAACGAGCATTTTTTTCTAGTTTCATGACAATAACTTGTGTGTAAGTGTATGGATCTTTCTGAAATTGTACTACAAGGTTCCATATCACAACGGGAAAACTGGAATTGAGTTTGGGGTTAATTGCCCAAAACGTTTAGGAATAAGGGGTTAAAAAGGGCCAAAAATATGCATTTTTCTAGTTTCCAGACAATAACTTGTGTTCAAGTGTATGGATCTCTCTGAAATTGTACTACAAGGTACCATACCACAAAGGGAAAGCTGGGATTGATTTTGGGGGTAATTGCTTCAAAATTTTAGGAATAAAGGGCCAAAAAGGGGCAAAAAACAAGCATTTTTCTAGTTTCAGGACAATAACTTGTGTGTTAGTGTATGGATCTTTATGAAATTGTACTACAAGGTTCCATATCACAAAGGGAATGCTGGGTTTGAGTTTGGGGGTAATTGCCGTAAACGTTTAGGAATTTGGGGCCAAAAAGGGGCAAAAAAACAAGCATCTTTCTAGTTTCCAGACAATAACTTGTGTTCAAGTGTATGGATCTCTCTGAAATTGTACTGCAAGGTACCATACCACAAAGGGAAGGCTGGGATTGAGTTTGGGGGTGATGAATCATAAGGGGGTTCAAAAAATTTGGGGGGATTTTTTTTTTCATTTTTTTCCTTTTTATTTCTTTAAAATTTTCCATTTTAAATTGGTTATTTCTGATTTATATATAAAAGCAAATAATAATGATATGGTTTGAATAGGTAAATTAAAATTTAAAAAAGTTCTTAGACCACATTCATTCTGTGTCAGAAACCTATGCTGTGTCAAATATTTAATCACAATCCAAATTCAGTGCTGTATCAAGCTTGAATGTTGTGTCCATACTTGCCCCAACTGTTCAGGGTTCGACCTCTGCGGTCGTATCAAGCTGTGCCCAGCGGAGCATCTTATTTCAGTCATGAAACAGGAAACACACATATTTTTTTTTTGGCCTAATGCACCTCTTTCAACATCACTAAATCATTTTGTAAATATACTTTTAACAAGATACACAAAACAGTCACATTTATACATGTACATTGTACAATGTATATCAAAAGATGAAGTCTCAAGCTAGTAAAAAAAAAAATACCGAAAAGTCCTATGCCTCTGTTTCTTAAATAAATGTAGGTGAATTTGGGTACCATCATGTTACAGAGCTTATAAAATTGAGAATGGAAATGGGGAATATGTCAAAGAGACAACCCGACCAAAGAGCAGAATACAGCCTAAGGCCACCAATGGGTCTTCAACACAGCCAGAAAATCCTGCACCCGGAGGCGTGCTTCAGCTGGCTCTTAAACAAAAATGTGTACTAGTTAAGTGATAATGGACGTCATACTAAACTCCAAAACATATAAATGAACTCAATCTAATTAAAATTAAATCTCCGCACTTGCTCCTTGTTGTTTATATGTCGAGCGTGGGAGACATATAAACAACGAGGAGCAAGTGCGGAGATTTAATTTTAATTAGATTGAAATGAACTAAAATTAAAAATTAAAAATTATGCTTGTATGTCTTTGATGCTATATGCTGGATCTGGCTATATAAGCTCAATTGGGCTTTACAGTTTTTCAAAGGTAATTTTTTTTTTGTAGCCAGACAGATCTTTATTCATGATATAAATTTTAGCCCAAACTGCAGTCTGCAGATATGCATGATATGCAGTACCTCATAAACATTAGCAAATTTTATGTCTAATTTAAAGCCCTTGTTTGCATACAGATGATACATTTTTACATAGAATGATAAAAAAAAAAGGAATACATCATCAGCCAAAACAAATATTGTCGTGTTTGGTGTCAAAATTGTCTCTTGTTATGTCTGTAATGATAATAAAAAAATGCCAAAAAATTTGTACGGGGTCTATCATCATGATCATACATGTATGCCAATTTACTTGAAAAGTTTTTTTATTAATCTAGATCAATTCATTTGTAAACTTGCTTTTGCAAATATAATTATAGTTTTTATACGACCGCAAAAAATTTTTTGCGTCGTATAATGCTATGATGTCGGCGTTGGCGTCGTCGTCCGAAGACACTTTTGGTTTCCGGACAATAACTTTAGTTTAAGTGAATGGATCTCTATGAATTTTTCAAATTTTTGAAATCTTCAATTGCACAGTATTGCGCAATAGCAAGAAATCTTCAATTGCACAGTCATGACAGTATTGTACAATATATAGCACAGTATTGGGCGAAAGCAAGAATTCTTCAATTGCGCAATAGCACAATCAGCACAGTATTGTGCAATATCACAATACTGCGCAATAGCAAGAAATCTTCAATTGCACAGTATTGCACAATAGCACAGTAGTGCGCAATAGCAAGAAATCTTCAATTGAAAACAAATACAAATGTTTTAACCAATTTTGATGAGATTAATTAAGTCTTTAATTTTTGGGGGTTCTAACCTTGTATAATTTTTTTGGATATTGGGCCCCATTTTTAAATTGGTCTACATTGAGGTCAAAAGGGTTCAAAATTAAAGTTTGTTTGATTTCATCAAAAACTGAATTATTGCGGCAGTATGCATGGTATGATTTGCTGAATCTTATTGTGCATTTAGATTTTTATTTTGCAATGTTTTGGGCCCTGTTTTCAAATTAGTTCATATATTCATAGAATATACTTAGAATGTTATGGTATCCATAGAATTCACTTATGACTTGCTGTTACATGCATCTATATTTCATTTATATGTTGTTTTAATATTATTATTGTCTGTATTCGGATCACACCTCTATTGTGCTCTTTCCAATAAATATTGAATTGAAATTATAATAAAGGTTTGAAGGGTCCAAAATTAAACTTTGTTTGATTTCAACTAAAATTAAATTATTGATGTTTTTTTATATGCTGAATCTAACCATGTTGTTAGATTTTGGATATCAGACCATTCTAGGTAAATTAAATGTCCCATTTCAAATTTTTAAGATCTTTGACCACATTTATTTTGTGTCAGAAACCTATATTATGTCAAAAATTTGATCACAATCCAAATTCAGAGTATCAAGCTTGAATATTGTGTCCAAACTTGCGCCAATTGTTCAGGGTTCGACTTCTGCAGTTGTCTCTTGCTGCGCTCAGCGAAGCATTTGATCTAAATAAGATGTAAAATAAATTTACTGTGCAAAAAGAAATTATTTACGGATATTAGTGGAAATACTTTAAAATGTCAATGATTGCAGAAAATTCAGTCTGTATATTCTGCTGCTCTATGATAAATACATGAATGCCTGACTGTCTAGACAGTTATAAAATCTATGAATAGTCATTCAGAATAGTGATTTACATTGTACAGAATGCGGGAGGGTTTAGCTAGTTTGCTAGCGCCAGACCCTCCCTCTATTTTTTTTTTAAACTCTCACATCTTACGTGTATATATATACAATGTTGGAAATTGTTGTTTGTGTTGTATTTAGACCCCTCTAACAAGAAATTTGTTTTGCATGCACATGTATAAAAATTGCGGTTTTTATCCAACGCAATCATAGGTTTGAACGTTGTTTTCAATTAAGACATGTTTATATACAATGTATGTATATTCATTTAACCAATCATCAAAGCCCTTGTGAAAAATTCTTACTTCAAAGTATATATGGATATGGATTACACAAAATGTTTCTCTCTGCATTGATAGTAATAATAGAATATTCTTCTGTATTGTTTTTTTAACAGCTGAGTTGTGAAGTTAACAACAATGTTTGGACATGTTATTGCAAGGAATAATGGAAAGATTTGTCCTTGTTTACTGTACACAGTGAGGTAAATGATTTATTTATTTTTTAAATATTTTATTTTCATACAGTTGGCTTATTGTGGAGGTCACGTATCAATTTCCCACAGGTTACAGTATTTAAAAAAGCAGTCTCTTGATGAAAAAGTTTTGACCCCAAGATGTCTTTTCTCTATACTGTTGTTTGCTGCCTCATTGACAATAATAATTATAGACTGGTTTTACTGTCCTTACTTACAATACACAGGTAGATACACTGTCTCTGTTTAAATTAGACATAGGGAGGTACATGCTTACAATAATCACAATACCAGTACACAGCAGATAATGTACATGTTCATGCTTAAATATACAATGGAAAGTACACATGTTCACTTTCCTTGTGTATAGTATTCATGGGGATGTACCCCCGGTACTGTAAATGCTCTATATATTATAAACAGAGAGGTGCTGTCACTGCTTACAATACACAAGGAGGTACAAATTTCAATTATACTGTATCTCCACTCTAGGACTAGGGACAATATATTGTTTTCACCTTGTCTGTCTTTGTTTTCGTCCAACAAATATTTTTGTCATATTTTTCTTGGGTACTACTGAACAGAGTGACTTCATATATATGATAAGTTGTAACATGTGAGCACTTTTTGGAGATCTAGTTCTTGTTTGGCTATACTATGAACATGATGAACAGCTAATGCCTAGACAAACAAAGCTTTCAGAGTCTTACTAAGAATATATGGAAGTTGAAAATTTTGCTCACTTTGGAAATTAGATAAAAATCTCAAAAATATCTATCATTTAATTAATCTTGTAGGGAGATCAGGTTAACATGGTTTAGGGACAAGAGAAACACAAAAATAAAACTGTGTAAAAAAGTATGCTCCTCAGAAATCGCAAAATTTTATCTCTTTAAATAACATCTCCTGAGTATGTAAAAATTGAGTAGAAATTCAATACCATAGATCTGCACTTAATGATCTGTAAACAAGTGTGTTTAAAGTAACTGTTAAATGATTTTGACATTTGTAAATGATTAAAGAATCCAAATCTATATGTTGACCATTGGTCATAGTCTAGATGTTTTTATGATTTGATTGTTCTGTTAGATTTCTGTTTCATTGGCATTAATCTTTTGTATGTTTTTGTTCAAATATAAATATGATGAACATGATGAATGAAGACATGTATTCCGTCATATCAAAAGAGCACCAACTTCTGTTTTGCCAGTTTGGGAATCTTAGAGAAGATGAAAATATATGATGGAATAAGAATTTTGTAGTAATTTAATTCCCCACTTTTAATTTCCTTTTTAATTATACAAAGTGGGGGTTTACTGTTTTACCTCTGTCTGTCCATCCATCCATCCCATGAATATTTTTCGTCGCATCTTTCTCAGGAACTACATTACAAGGATTTCTGAAATTTGGTTTCAGGGTTTATATGAGTCAGCTATACCCTGTGATGCGTTTTCAGTTTCATCACTCAACAACTTCCTGTTTACCTTATACTTTAAGCTGGGCAGGGGTATCATTAGTGAGCAGTAGCTCACAGATTCACTTGTTATTTCTAATTTGAAATTTAATGTGACAGGTTCCAAATGCCTAATGACAATTTTAAGAATATTGATCAGACATAAATGGTCTCTTCTTTTTGAATGATACTTTTGTTAAGACATTATATGAAGAAGTTGACTGATTTCATGCAATTTGTTATCATCGTCCAGCATGTTTTGGTGTAAACACTCATTCATGTTTAGCCAGTGCTGATTTGTTTTACGTTTGAAATGCTCATTTTTATACGACCGCAAAAAAATTTTTGTGGTCGTATATTGGTATGACGTTGGCGTCGTCGTCGTCATCGTCGTCATCGTTGTCGTCTGGCATCGTCCGGCGTCGTCCGAAGACACATTGGTTTTCGCACTCTAACTTTAGTTTAAGTGAATGGATCTCTATGAAATTTTACCACAAGGTTTAATACCACAAAAGGAAGGTTTGGATTGATTTTGGGGGTTATGGTACCAACAGTAAAGGAATTAGGGGCCAAAAAGGGGCCAAAAATAAGCATTTTTGTAACTTCCAGACATAACTTGTGTGCTAGTGTATGGATCTCTCTGACATTGTACCACAAGGTTCCATATCACAAAAGGAATGCTGGGATTGATTTTGGGGGTAATTGCCTCAAAATTTTAGGAATTAGGGGCAAAAAAAGGGACAAAAAACAAGCATTTTTCTAGTTTCAGGACAATAACTTGTGTGTAAGTGTATGGATCTTTCTGAAATTGTACTACAAGGTTCCATATCACAAATGGAAAGCTGGGTTTGAGTTTGGGGGTAATTGCCCTAAATGTTTAGGAATTTGGGGCCAAAAAGGGGCCAAAAAACACATTTTTCTAGTTTCCAGACAATAACTTGTGTTCAAGTGTATGGATCTCTCTGAAATTGTACTGCAAGGTACCAGACCACAAAGGGAAGGCTGGGATTGAGTTTGGGGGTGATGAATCATAAGGGGGTTTAAAAAATTTGGGGGGGGGATTTTTTTTTTTTTCCTTTTTTTTTCTTTTTTTCCTTTTTTTTTTCTTTTAAAATTTTCCATTTTAAGTTGGTTATTTCTGATTTATATTTAAAAGCAAGTAATAATGATATGGCAGGAGATACACACCAAACAGGATGTGTTAATTATTATATAATAAGTATTGTGCAATAGCAAGAAATTTTCAATTGCACAGTATTGCACAATAGCAAGAAATCTTCAATTGCACAGTATTGCGCAATAGCAAGAAATCTTCAATTGCACAGTATTGCGCAATAGCAAGAAATATCCAATAGCACAATATTGCGCAATAGCAAGAAATTGTCAATTGTACAGTATTGCGCAATAGCAAGAAATATTTAATTGCACAGTATTGTGCAAAAGAAGATACTTCATATAAATTGCTTATTTCTTGACCAATTTCAATGGGGTTTTATTCTTGAATTCTTTGGGTTCTTTAATATGCTGAATCCAACAGTGTATTTAGTTTTTGGATTTTGGGCCTCGTTTTTAAATTGGTCCACATTGAGGTCCAAAGGGTCCAAAATTAAACTTTGTTTGATTTCATCAAAAATTGAATTATTGGGGTTCTTTGATATGCCGAATCTAACCGTGTATTTAGATTCTTAATTTTTGGTTCCGTTTTCAAATTGGTCTACATTAATGTCCAAAGGGTCCAAAATTAAACTTAGTTTGATTTTAACAAAAATTGAATTCTTAGGGTTCTTTGATATGCTGAATCTAAACATGTATTTAGATTTTTGGTTATGGGCCCAGTTTTCAAGTTGGTCCAAATCGGGGTCCAAAATTAAACTTTGTTTGATTTCAACAAAAATTGAATATATAGGGTTCTTTGATATGCTGAATCTAACCATGTATTTAGATTTTTGATTTTTGGTTCCATTTTCAAATTGGTCTACATTAAGGTCCAAAGGGTCCAAAATTAAACTTAGTTTGATTTTAACAAAAATTGAATTCTTAAGGTTCTTTGATATGCTGAATCTAAACATGTATTTAGATTTTTGATTATGGGCCCAGTTTTCAAGTTTGTCCAAATTGGGGTCCAAAATTAAACTTTGTTTGATTTCAACAAAAATTGAATATATGGGGTTCTTTGATATGCTGAATCTAACCATGTATTTAGATTTTTGATTTTTGGGCCCCGTTATCAACTTTGTCCACATTGAGGTCAAAAGGGTCCAAAATTAAAATTTGTCTGATTTCATCAAAAATTGAATTCTTGGGGTTCTTTGATATGCTGAATCTAACCATGTATTTAGATTTTGGATATTGGACCATAATAGGTGGATGTCCAATTTAAAATTTTTAAGTTCTTAGACCACATTCATTCTGTGTCAGAAACCTATGCTGTGTCAAATATTTAATCACAATCCAAATGCAAAGCTGTATCAAGCTTGAATGTTGTGTCCATACTTGCCCCAACTGTTCAGGGTTCGACCTCTGCGGTCGTATCAAGCTGCGCCCTGCGGAGCATTTTATTTTCAATACAATATATGTTGCAAATGACTGTACATGTACATGTACATCATTATTGTGTCATCTGATAGTAAAACAGTAGCAACACGAAGGGATCATTTCTTAGGTGGTCTTCTGTGTCACACTTTATCAAAATAAGGAGATGTGGTATGATTGCCAATGCGACAACTATCCACCAAAGTTTAAATGAAGTGGGTGTAAGCAATTATAGGTGACTGTACGGCCTTCAATAATGAGAAAAAAAAACCATACCGTGTAGGTGTATATAAAAGGCCTCCACATGAAAAAATATGAAACAATTCAATTGAAAAACAGCCTAATTTATAACAAGACAATTTACAAAATGACACCTACTAAGCTACAGGCTCCTGACTTGTGACAGGCACATGTAGAATGTGGCTGGGTTAAACATGTTTGAAAGCTCCAACCCTTTCCTAACCTGCAAGCTGGGACAAAGATGTAACAGCACAACATAAGAACAAGTTTTTTATTTGCAACTCCTTAAATTAACTTGATAGAATTCAACCAAACTTTCACAGATTCTATATACGATTATTAATTTTGACTTTTTGGGTTTATTACCAAATCGTGGACTCTGCTTATATTATTCTGAGATTGCTGTAGACACAAGTGTACCTTGGAAAGCTCACACATCTAAAGTGGATCTCATTGGGGTCTAAGGGACCGGTCAAAATTTCTTGATGCATGGGACCGGTGCAAACTGTAATGGGACAAGCACTTTTTGCAGTGTTTACAGGAATGGGACTCAATGTTTTTTCATTATTGGCAAGCATGGGACATGAACTTTTTGAAACAATATCTGTATATGAAAAAAAAATTATTTGATAAATCTATGACAAACAAAAATAACATCATGAACATCTAGCAATGTGAATTTAACAGTTACAACATACCAAATTCATTTTCAAGATTTAGGGACCGGTCAATATTTATTGGGGGTTGGAAACGGTGCAAAACGCAGTAGGACACACATTTTTTTAACTTAATTTTTGATAGGACTTCTACTTTTTTAGTTTTCAGCACTGATAGGACAGCAATATTGTTATGGCATATGTATGAATGTAGAAAATAAGTAAATTACAACAAAATAAACAAGATTAATTGAGGAACAAACAAGTAACATATGGTGTAAATCAGCCCATCTAACTAAATTAAATATAGATCTATCAAAATTCCAGTTTTTTTTTGGTAGTTTGGTTCATTGCTGTGAAATTAAAGAATTAAATTAATAGGTAAAAAAAAAATTGATGAAATTCAGATAGTCATCTTTAATTATTTTTATAACTTTTTCAAATCAACTTGGATTTTCATCAAACTATACAGTTATCTTAGTTATATATTGATCTTACTGAATCCCTGGTCGTTATGTAGTTTGGTGTATTGCTGTCAAATTTAAGGATTAAATTAATCTAGGAAAAAAAAGATAGAATTTGCATTTTGGACTAAATTCAGATAGTACACTTTAATGTTTTTTATAACTTTTTCAAATCAACTTAGATTTTCATCAAACTATACAGCTATCTCAGTTATATACTGATCTTACTGAATCCCAGGTCGTTATGTAGTTTGGGGTTTTGCTGTCAAATTTAAGGATTAAATTAATCTAGGTAAAAAAAATCTAGAATTTGCAGCTTGGACTCAATTCAGATAGTACACTTTAATTTGTTTTATAACTTTTTCAAATCAACTTGGATTTTCATCAAACTATACAGCTTTTTCAGTTATATATTGATCTTACTGAATCCTAGGTCGTTATGTAGTTTGTTTTATTGCTGTCAGATTTATGGATTAAATTAATCTAGGTAAAAAAAGATAGAATTTGCATTTTGGACTAAATTCAGATAGTACACTTTAATGTTTTTTATAACTTTTTCAAATCAACTTGGATTTTCATCAAACTATAAAACTATCTCAGTTATATACTGATCTTACTGAATCCCAGGTCGTTATGTAGTTTGGGGTATTGCTGTCAAATTTAAGGATGAAATTAATCTAGTTCAAAAAAGCTAGAATTTGCAGTTCAGACTAAATTTGGATAGTTAACTTTGAATTATTTTATAACTATTTCAAAGCAACTTGAATTTTCATCCAAATCTACAGCTATCTTCATTATATTTTTATCTTACAAAAAAACAGGTTATTTGGTAATTTGGTTTATTGCTGTCAAATTTAAATATTTAAATTATAGGTTTCTATCTGAATTTTGTCAAAACTGAAAATTTTAGCCTTTTTTTACCTATTAACTAAGTCCTTAAATTTGACACAATACACCAAAACACAAAACAACCTGGTATTTTGTAAGATAAATATATTATAAAGATAGCTGAAAAGTTTGATGAAAATCCAAGCTGATTTGAAAAAGTTATAAAATTTTAAAAATGACACCTTTGTTTTGTTAAAACAAGAATTTAATATAATCATGATAATAGAACTTTCATAACAATCCTTGATAACCTTTTAAAAAAGGAAATGTGTTCCAAAATTACAGTAAAAATTTGTTATAATCAAATTTAAATAAATTTTTGTCAGATTTAAAGACATGGCTTACAAGAGGCACTTTAATAAGGTTTAATTACATCAGTACATGTGTGTTTTACAGGTAAAAAGAAAGCCCTACTTTTCTTAAACTCGTGTTTTACTTATCGAATGTAGGACAGAAAGTCACATGACAAAAAGTCACAGACAAAAAGCCACAGGACAAAAAGTCACAATTCAGTTTTGAGATTATTTTTCTTTAACAAGAAAACACTAATTTAAAAAAAAACATTTTTGTACTTTTCTTGAACTTTAGTATATAAAGCAACTTTGTAAACAAAATTTATATAAAAAAAGTATTTATAATGATCAAATAATTGTTATGAAAACAAAATGTCAAAGTGGGTTGGTACTTAAACGGCTTCATGGTGCCAAGAAATATATCTTTTGCATGATTAAAATTTAATAAATCTTTATTTATCAAGTCTAATGAACAATTTCCTCAACTGTAAAATAAATATATGTAATAAAAAGTAAATATTTAAAGATCTTTCTCTAAAATATTCAAACAAGTGTTACAATACATATTATTTGTGACTTTTTGTCGTATCAAATTTGTGACTTTTTGTCCTATCAAATTTGTGACTTTTTGTCCTGTGACTTTCTGTCCGTTTACCTACTTATCTAGTGAATTCAAAAAGCCTTGCGATTTAAGTTTAACAGGATGTTGCAATTTTGAATGAATGTTATTTAGAATTTAATAGTCTCTGGTAGGTGTGATCTTTTTGCCCCAAGCAGGAGGTATCGCTTTATACTTCACCACTTTAATCAGAAGGACAATTTAAATAATTTCTTTAATGTTTGATCCCTTTTTGATATATTCATATAATATGTATCAACATGTCGAGACAATGTAGAGACTAGTCAAGTAAAATGTGAGCACAAAATCTGGTCTTTTCAGACTCTGAGCAGTTTGTAGTGTAGATAATGAACAAATCCAAAGTGATGAAGAAGATGACCTTGTAATAAGAGCCTATGACAGTTCTGACAGTGATAATGACAATGATGATAATAATACTAAATGATGAATACAGTAGTTATAGTAGTAGTAGTGGCAGTGAAAGTGAAAGTGAAATTGAAAAGGAATCTTATTTGCCTTCTTCAAGTAGGAGATCATTTAAAATTCCAGACAAATTCAAAGACTACTATATGTGATCTATGTTAATCTGATAAAAATGAAGTTAAATATAAAAAAGAAGATGTGGTATGATTGCCAATGAGACAACTCTCCACAAGAGACCAAATGACACAGAATTTAACAACTATAGTCTGTTTGATTTATTCATAGATTAGATAGGACATATACTTATTTAGTAGATATTTCATATAGGACAGAAACTTTTTTTGGTATATTCAGAGGGTAGGACATAGCTTTTTTTAAGGGAGAAATATGAATTGCACCGGTCCCAACCCCCCAATAAATATTGACCAGTCCCTTAAAGAACAGTGAAGGCAACAAAAAAAAACTTTGGAACAGAATTAACATGAAAAAATATTTGATATAAAATTAAAAAAATATGTAAAAATTTGATTAGATATTTTACATGTATAACTGTTTAACAAATGTAAAAAAAACGAATTCATGGATAGTGTTTCTGCACAAAAAAACATGATTGTCAAATATAATTCTGTCCTCCCATAAAGCAGAATTTACCTACCCACTGTTAATTTAGAATAGTCAGATTCTAAATTAAGCTGCAATTTTTTTGAAAAAATGTGTTCTATAATACACTTCATACATGTTAATTGTTTAATATTGCATGTATCATTTATTATAGTCAATAACATATTGTCATCTGTTTGGGCTCCTGTGTTGGCAATAAAATATGCTTATGTATTGTTTTGTTTACTTTATAACAGCAATAAAGATACAGTTCACACATAGTAGCATTATTTTTCAGCTATCCAAATACATTGTAGCATGAAATGTAGCCACAACTTTGATCATGTTTTTTGTGCTTTAACATGGGACACACACTTTTTTACTAGGTAAAGTGCATGGGACAAGCATATTTTTATTCTGCCAGTAACCATGGGATCAAGAGAATTATTTCAGACAATTTTCTTTTTGCACCGGTCCCATGCATCAAGAAATTTTGACCGGTCCCTAAACGTGACACGAGATTGGATGATTTTTTGTAGGCGTGACAGGTGAAAGTCAAATTATTTTTGCGTGAAAATGGGAAACGAAGTTGGGCAGGACATGTGAAATTACAAGCGCTATAATTGCACAATGTTGCAATGATAAGCGGGATACAGGATTCTGAGAAAACAATAAGAGGTTCTGGGATCAGACCCCCCAATGAAACCCCTCTAAATCATATTAATTATATGAGTTGAATGCTTTTATGGATTCTTCTTCGTTCCAACACATTACCCAAAACATGTACTGCAATACAATAAGGATATCTATCCCTCTGTCCATGAACAATTCAACATTCTCATGACATGTTTTGTACCTACAGTGATTGACCTGAATTTTCTTTACAACTGATTGATAGTATTTTGGTTAATTGTGTTATTTTTATGTAGTTTCATGATTATAAATACCAGATTGAGTTTTCCTTGTTAGAAATAGAAATTATTCTTTATATTTTTCCCCTCATAACTTTTACTGTTCCTGACTGAACAAGTCAAGTGAATGCGATTTGTATTATGCCATCCAATCATTTAAATGTTTGTATTATGCCTTAATGTTTTAATGGTTTTTCATTGTAGATGCATGTCAAAGACACATTACCAGCTGCTTGGTGTGGATCAAAAAGCATCACAAGAGGAAATCAAGACAGCTTATAGAGAAATGTCTAAGAAGGTATGATCAGGTATTGATATTGAAATAAGGAAATTATTTCATTTCATGTACCATGTTTGTGGATAATAAGTGGATCAAATTGCTACTGAAATATATGTCCTTATAAGATAAGTAGATGTGGTGAGATTGCCAATGAGACAACTGTCCAAATGAAGTAGGTGTTAACAGCTCTTAGGTCACTGCACAGCATTCAACAAAATGCAAAAACCCATACTCTTTAGTCAGCAATAAAAGGTTCTAAGTTCCTAACATGACAAATTATGAAACAATTCAAATGAAATAAAACCCAAACAGCTTGTTTTATGACAAAACAATAAACAAATTTAAAAATAAATATGACAGACAGACAGCAACCAAAGACAACCACTGAATAAGATGCTTCTGATATGGGAGAGACTCATATAGAATGTGGGAAGGTTAAATATGTTTGTTAGCTCCCAACCCTTATTATTTCTATGAATTTATTTCAGCTGCACCCAGATTTGAATCCACATGATCCAAAAACACACGACAAATTTATACGACTAAAAGAAGCTTATACAACTATCAGTACACCTGCTAAGAAAAAGACTTATGACAAATATTTAGCTGGTGTACAGAGGGTTATAAAGATGAAAATAAAAGAGAATGATTCTGAGAAAGTAAATCATGGTGGAGGTATGAGGTCAGTAATTTTATTTGTTGACTTTTATATATAGCAGTCTGCTGTCTAAATTTTGATGATTTTACCCTCTCCCCCAAAGAAAATGAATTATAAAATTTGCCAATGTATAATCTAAAAGACTGTAAATAATTTTATATTGTTTATAAAGCTTTACCTCATTTTTCCATTTCCATTGTTTAGGATGTTTTTTTTTTTTTACCAAAAACCTAAATCCCTTTATATAGGTGATTATAGTTTTTTCTTTAAATCCTTCTTATCTTTATAATACTAGTGTATCTGATGAAGGTGTTCCATGAAATCTGTTATGGGTATCACAATTTTTTATCAAGCGTTTTTTGCTGCTACTGTGTTGCTTTGGCTGGTAATAGATTATAAGTCCGTCTAAACTGGCATGATTTAATATTTTTATTTCCGTCATTTCAGTTTTACTTATTGCTTTTGTTGTCACTTTGACACATTCCCAGTTTCCATTCTCAATTCTATTATAATCATTAGTGATGGAGTTAGTCATAAATCACCAATATTTATACATGGGATGAACACACAGGAAGATTTCCTAGATGATCTCTTGTACTGTTATGAAATAGAAGCTCCTTTATAACATTTAATAGAGGGTATAGAATATATGTTCCACCAGGAACAGATATTATTGTATTGTTTATAAAAAAAGGTGGAACAAATGTATGTGGACAGTATAACCAGAAAACATGGCACTCCTACACATACATTTGAATAAAAAAATGTCTGTTGCTCAGAAATTTAACATAATAATAAATATTATTTTGAAGGATTTATTTGATGTGTAAACTCAGCAGACTCAGTCTGAAGGAATTTTTGTGAGTAAAAGGTTTACAGATCAATACACTCTGTAAAAATAATCTTCATTACTTATAGTTCCAATGAAATGCACTGAAAGTTATGCCTTATGAAATATGTTGTGGAAACTTACAGAACTATTTCGCCTGTGATGTCATGTACAAGTTATATAAAAAAGTAAAAACCTTTTTTGTTGTCATGACACTCACCAATGAAATGAAAGTTATCATAATAACATTGGAATCATAAAATGTAAGAAGGATTTTTTTTAAAACATCTATTATTTTTTTCAGGTATACACATGGTGCACCTTCTCCAATGGATATACGTCGGTTCCGATCACCATCACAGAAATATCAACCAAAGAACTATTCACAAAGTTTTCTTATGTCAGAAGATTTTTCTTATCAACGATTGCTTGGTCTTATGCTGTTGTTTGGGTTCAGTCTTAATTTTGTAATAGGGGTGTAGGTATAATTGCAATTTGTATGAATAAACTTAAATGTGAGGCAAACATTAAGAAAAGTTGTTACCTGGGATATAGGAGGTAAAATTATGTGGGGTTGCGGGGGATATATGGAGTAAAAAGTGTGATGTGGGGAAAAGTAGGAAAAAAGTGGGAGGTTGGGACAAAAATTACCAAAAAAGCAGGATTTGGAAAATGAGCAACAGGTGTCACCCCATCTGATTTCAGTATCTACCATCATTTAGTTTTGTATTGCTTGAAATTCTATCATACTTTTATTGTTTAACTGATTTCTATTATGTCAGTTAGGGGTACTACTTGTACAAGTTATTTTTATTTACTTGAAGAAGTAAATATTAATATACTTATATAAGTAAATTTGTAAGATACTTTTACAAGTGTATTTTATTTACTTGTATAGGTAAATTATTTTATTGGCTTAGACATTCAGATATTTTTACTTATACAAGTAAAAGTCATACTGTGGATTCATTAATATTCGTTGGATACTAATTTTCGTGGATTTCGTGGGTACAAGGGAACCACGAATTTAAATGTTCAACGAATTACAAATTTTTTAAAGGAATGTATGCAGACTTGGCCAAAACCACGTAATTAAATATCCACGAATATGCAAGTTTTCCTCAATCCACGAAAATTGGTACCCACGAAAATAAATGAATCCACAGTACTATCTCCTTTTTTTGAATTTCTCAGAACTTCTTTGCTCTAATAGAATTGTTTATTTTCTTTTTATATGTAAGAGAATGATAATCCCTTTCTTCATGATTAAGTACGAGCGTTAGCGAGTACTTATCATGAAGTAAGGGATTATCATTCTCTTACAAACTTAGAATATTTTAAAGTGCTCAAGGCTCAAATGGTCTATTCAAAAATTAGTTTCATTGTCAGTGCAATGTTTATAATTGATGCATGACTTCCTTTTTCGGCATGTCATTTATAGATTAGTTTTAGTGAAGTGAGGACTTTCTTATCATTTGGGAAATATTTAAAAAAAAAAAATGCGTTATAGATATTAGGTGACACAACAGTAGAAAGAAAAGGTAGGAATTGTATGTTTCCCGATTGTGAGTTTGAATGTAAATCATGTAATATTTTAGTGAGGAATTATCCTTTTTTAATTTACAGTTTAAACCAATTAATACATTTGAGTTACTGTAACAACTAAATTTTATTTTACAGCCAATATTTTGGTCCGGCTTTTTTACATCAAATACTGTTTCATTATGTCAGGGAAATGTTCAAAAATAGTGCCCTTAAAAGTTTTTAATATGTTCAAAATTAAATTCCTGTTTTTTTTATTGGAATACATGTATTGGAAATAACTATTTTCCCCAACCGCTGATCAAGTAATCAAAGTTTTGGAAAGCTAAAGATTTAGGTTATTTTTTATCTGAAAGATTTTTTTTCTTTTTTTTTTTCATATTGGTATTGTTTAGTTTTATAGTAATTTGAAGTTATTAATATTTTCATAATAACATTTACGGTACAAATTTTACTGAACCAGTAAACTTCAACTTATTTTGAGATTTTTGTTTGTTTCACAATTCAACTTTTAGTCAGTTTCAATCACTGTGTGATAAATTATTTCAATTTGATAAATGTGCTTCGGGGCAGTTGTAACTCATTTATAGAAACTCTTTGTTTTGAACTGTAAATAGACCCAAATAATAGGATAATCCCTTACTAAGAACATGATTTACATTCATTCTTCACAATTAAGAGGCATCCAATCCTACAATTTCATTGGTCGAGAGTACTTTGCTATATTCTAACCTTTGTAGATGTCTTTACTAAATAATTTTAGTGTGATTAATGGACAATGAAAATCTCATTTGTCTGTTATCTTCAGAACACTGCTCATTTACAAGCCCCCAAGGGTCAATTTTTGAAGGCCTTGCACAATTACTTAAGATCTTTGTGCAATTAGTTTCTTTGTTCAATTAGTGAGATGAAACATTGAACTCTAATAAAAAATTATGAGCTTACCAGAGAAAAATTGTTAAAGGCATGTTTTTGTCGAGCCTGCGACTTTTGTCACAAAAGCGAGACATAGCGATCCTACATTCCGTCATTGGCTGCAGCAACATCGTCCACAAATATTCACTCTGTGGTTAAAGTTTTTGAAATTTTAATAACTTTCTTAAACTATCCTGGATTTCTACCAAACTTGGACAGAAGCTTGTTTATGATCATAAGATAGTATCCAGAAGTAAATTTTGTAAAAAAAAAATCCTGTTTATCCGTATTTTACTTATAAATGGACTTAGTTTTTCTGCCAGTTAACATTACATTCACTCTGTGGTTAAAGTTTTTAAAATTTTAACAACTTTCTTAAAATATCCTGGATTTCTACCAAACTTTGACAGAAGCTTGTTTATGATCATAAGATAGTATGCAGTAAAATGTTAGTGTATGTTCAACTCTACCCTTATCTGGGACTGTGGTGAAAAACCACACCATTCGAAACAAGATGTAAGGAATATTGCAAAATTTGAAGACATATATAATTATGACAGGTACAATTAATACTATATTAGCATTAAAAGACTTGTATAAGTTCAGTCTTTTTAAGCTTGAATTTTAACCTGATTCTGTTATGCTTTTTTTCAGATATAATAAAACGCAGGAAATAGAAGTAAAAAGGGGAAATAAATCTACCACAAATGAAAGTAAAGGGAAAAGCTGACAGTGATTTAAAATTAGGTATTGTTATAGTTCACTTCTGTATTGTATTGTTTAGATCTGACAAGTGGCATTTAGAATCTCTTGTTTTATCTGAAAGGATGAAAACTATTTACATGAATTGTTTTGGGGAATTATTTACATGGTGTTTTGGGGAATTTTCCTTGAGCATATTTAAGGTGGTACCCAACACCTTGACTAATATTAATTTGGCTCGTTTAATTTTCCTAAAATTATGACAAAATTTTTACTTTGACCCTTTGACAAAAATATAAAAATTTCAAATAATTTGAACCAACCACTTTATCAGAAAAATTTCGTTGGTTATATAGCAGTTTGACAAACACTAATTTTGATCATTGAGAAGCTTAATATTTCCTTAACAATACAACGTAATTAAAACGTTTAGCTGATTTTTACAGAGTTATCTACCTGTAGTGTTAGGTACCACCTTAAATGTGTATATTACCCTTACAAATCAATTTCAGATACAATTTATTTAAAACATTAAAGGAATGGTTCTTGATGATAAAGTTGGACATCTCTTAAGTCATTTAACATGATTTGGTTGACTGTTACAGAATATAATTGTTACAGATAACCATGATATGTTCAACTTTTCTATTGAAAGTCCTTTTCTACTTGTACATATTCATGAATTCTTATTGAAGAAGACTTGTCAAATGACTTTTATCGGTCATGGGCATCTGTGCCTCTAGTGTTACAGGAACTACACTTTCTTGAACATCTTAATTCACCTCTCCTGTCTTGAAATTTAAATTTCTCTCTAAGTTGTCTAAAGTTAAGATTATGCTAGACCAAATAAATAAATTTTTGGAACGATGAAGTCCTAATAAAAGTCAGGACATTACAACAAAATAGAAGGTGTAAACTCAGTATCTGGGAATAATATTAGAATTAGGTTTAAAAATAAAAAAATATGATTATTGAGACACGGAAGTACCACGGGGTGGTTAGTGTCTCAACATACACATTTAGGTACAGATGTCTTGCTGGAGTTTAAAAAAACACCCCCATTCATATATTGATCTTTGAGAAAATCCCTACCCATACATATATTTCATAGGAAAATCATAACCCATTGATGTATTTCCTAGCTATCAGACATACAATCTATGCCATCTTATTTAGATGTTAACAACATGGGATCATTCATATTATTTGATAAAAGACCAGTACACTGTTTATACAGACATCCAAACATAAAATGATCATGTATGATCCATTGACATATACATTTCTGTCCATTATTGAGCTACCTCTTTGAAATTGTACCCCATTGATATATTTTACATTAAAAAAAAGTTACCCATACAAGGGTCACATCTGAGTATACCTTTATATAGGAAGAGATCCCCCATGGCAAGTACTAGTTAGTTTCACAGCATCTGTCTTTATTCTCTTGCATTTGCTTGGTGATCCTAAATTTCAGATATATATGACAACCTAAGCCATTTTGCAGTTTTTAAGGACAAGAATTCAAATTGCCACTTCTATATTTTTAAAACCTCTATGAATTTTCAAAATTTTAGAAAAAAAAACTTCATTTCAGTTTAAACTTGGTCCATATACTTTAACTTTTTAATGCATTACTCACATGATAGTACAATAATTCATTTGACAAATAAAGCCATAAGGTATGACATTGTTCAACAGATGAATTGCATTAGAAGTTCTTATTCGGTGTTAAGGTACATATAATTTTTGTTTTGTGTAAATATGCTCCTTCTACATGTTGTATTTCTAACCAACTTGAAATCCAAATGAAGTTTAAGGCTCCAAACTGTTATTGATTACAGTGAAATGATGAATATTGGAATACCAATTTTTGTGGATTTCGTAGATCTCGTTGGTATAGCTGAAACATGAAATTAAATGATCACCGTCCGAAGTACAAACTTTCTACAGGATTATATGCGAACTTTAAAAAAATCATGAAATCTAATTTCCACTAACTTCAATCTTTCCTCAATTCACAAAAATTGTTACCAATGAATATAAATCGATTCACACTATTCACTTCTCTGATAAATCTGCATTGCAGGGATACAACACCTACAAAAGGAATCAACTCATATTGAATTATAATATTAAGAATCAATTGAAGATTCATCAATCAATTTAAAAAACATATATACTGTATTGCATTCTGACAGTTTAAAAATTTAGCAAGAACTTTAATTAAACAAGTAAAAACTACTTATTGTAGTGAATCTGGTATACATTTTTATAAATATTGAGATTTCTGTTAATTCAAAAACTATTGCATGCATTTCTTTTTGCTATTATTGAGAAATTGACAAAAATGAGGAATTAATTATTGTGGTATCAGGAAATGCTGAAGACAAATAAAATTGAGAATGGAAACGGGGAATGCATCAAAGAGATAACAACCCGACAAAAGAGCAGAAAACAGCCCAAGGCCACCAATGGGTCTTCAAGACAGCGAGAAAATCCTGCACCTGGAGGAGGGCTTCAGCCAGCACCTAAACAATAATGTATACTGGTTCAGCGAAAATGGACGTTACACTAAACTCCGAAACATATAAATGAACCAAAATTTAAAAAAATACAAGACTAACAAAGGCCTGAAGTTCCTGACTTGGGACAGGCGCAAAGATGCGGCAGGGTTAAACATGTTTTTAAAGATCTCAACCCTCCCCTATACCTCTAGCAAATGTGGAATAAACAAACACACACCAATATGCACAGTAAAATTCAGTTTTAAAGAAGCCCGAGTCCGATGTTAGAATAGGTAACAGGAGAAACTAAAACTAAGCAAAATGACAATAATCAACATAAATTAATGCTATAAAAATTAAAATGCATTTTTTTTACGAATTCTATCTTGTCACAATTTTTCAATAATTAAAACACGGTAAAATTTCCTGAATTTACAGTATGTCCTATTTACTCTTCAATTAAATGTGATGGCATAATGATTTTGAGGGAAATTTCCTATATGGCCTATTAGATTTTCATAGATCAAACTTGTTATTTTGAGAATCACACAAATGTTTAGTCAAGGTTGAAAATTTCCTATGGCTTATACAAATTTTATATACAAGTTCCACGTTGTTTTTAAAATATCACACTGTTTAGTCAAGGTTTGAATATTGGTCATGTGAGACGTTTGACAACAGTAACTGTTATGTTGATTAGAGAAGAAATTTTTTTCCCTAAATTTGGAAGCCTTTATTATATCAAATTTTCAGTATAATAAAAAAATAATTAGTTATAATGGATTTAACAATATAAAAATAACAACCACAGAATTACAAGCTCCTGACTTGGGACAGACATATGATGAATGTGGTAGGGTTAAACATGTTTGTGAGTGCTCAACCCTCCCTAAAACATGGGACAGTCTGTAACAAGAGGCTCATGAGAGCCTGATATCACTCACCTGGTTGAAATTTCAGATTCAGGCATTTGACTTATTTGTAGATCTAACTTTGATGAACAATTTTGTAATTTACACTTTCTCTCTTTCTATAATAATATTAAAGATAATACATAACCCAAAACTGTAAAATTTCCTAAAAATTAACTATTTCTGGACAGTAACCCAACAATAAGTTGTCCTATTGGTCTGAAGATTACTTGAAAGGTAGATCTAAACCTGTTGAACACTTTCACCTATATGTCAGTTTTGCTCTTACTGCTTTAGTTTTTGAAATGAAAGCCGAAAACATTATTTGACCCCTATGTTATATTTTTAGAAACTGACGCCATGTTTTTGAATGGATCAAATCCCCAAATACAATCTATAAACTAGATACCCTAAGGAACATTCATATAAAGTTTTTAAGTATTTGGCAAAGTAGTTTCAGAGAAGAAGATTTTTGAAAAGTAATTGGACTTTCACAAAAAATGTAAAAAAAAACGTTTTAAGGGCAAAAACTCCTCAAGGGGTCAATTGACTATTTTGATCATGTTGACCTATTTGTAGATCTTACTTAGCTGAACATTTATTGCCATTTATACTTTCTCTCTATCTATTTTAATATTCAAGAAAATAACCAAAAACAGTAAAATTTAATAAAAACAAACCATTTCCAACAGTAACCCAACAATGGGTTGTCGAACTCGTCTGAAAATTTCATAACAAATAGATCATGACCCATTTATCACTTTAACCCTCTTTCACTTTTGATCTAACTGCTGTAGTTTTTGAGATATAAGCCAAAAACTGCTTTTGTCCCCTATGTTTTATTTTTAGCCTTGGCAGCCATGTTTGTTGATGGATCAAAACTTTGGATACAATATATAAACTAGATACCCTTAGGAGCATTCAGGTGAAGTTTGGAAGTATTAGGCCCAGTAGTTTCAGAGAAGAAGATTTTTGAAAAAGTAATAAACTTGCACCAAAAAATGTAAAAAATAAACGTTTCAAGGGCAATAACTCCTTAAGGAGTCAATTGACTATTTTGATCATTTGACTTATTTGTAGATTTTACTTAGCTGAACATTTTTGCTATTTACATTTTCTTTCTATCTATTATAATATTAAAGATAATAACCAAAAACAGTAAAATTTCATAAAAATAAACTATTTCGGACAGTAACCCTACAATTAAATATTGGTGGTCCAATTGTCTGAAAATTTCATAGCAGATAGATCTTGACTTATTCATCACTTTAACTCCATGTCAATTTTGCTCTAACTACTATAGTTTTTGACATAAAAGCCAAAAACTGCATTTGACCCCTATGTTCAATTTTTAGCCATGGCGACCATGTAAAGTTTTTTGCGGTCGTATATTGGTATGATGTTGGCGTCGTTGTCGTCGTCCGAAGACACATTGGTTTTCGCACTCTTACTTTAGTTTAAGTGAATGGATCTCTATGAAATTTTACCATAAGGTTCAATACCACAAAAGGAAGGTTGGGATTGATTTTGGGGGTTATGGTACCAACAGTTAAGGAATTAGGGGCCAAAAAGGGGCCATAAATAAGCATTTTTGTAACACCCAGACATAACTTGTGTGTTAGTGTATGGATCTTTATGAAATTGTACCACAAGGTTCCATATCATAAAGGGAAAGCTGGGTTTGAGTTTGGGGGTAATTGCCTTAAACATTTAGGAATTTGGGGCCAAAAAGGGGCCAAAAACAAGCATTTTTCTAGTTTCCAGACAATAACTTGTGTTCAAGTGTATGGATCTCTCTGAAATTGTACTGCAAGGTACCATAACACAGAGGGAAGGCTGAGATTGAGTTTGGGGGTGATGAATCATAAGGGGGTTCAAAAATTTGGGGGGGGGGTTTCCTTTTTTTTTCTTTAAAGTTTTCCATTTTAAATTGGTTATTTCTGATTTATATATAAAAGCAAATAATAATGATATGGTTTGAATAGGTAAATTAAAAAATTTTAAGTTCTTAGACCACATTCATTCTGTATCAGAAACCTATGCTGTGTCAAATATTTAATCACAATCCAAATTCAGTGCTGTATCAAGCTTGAATGTTGTGTCCATACTTGCTCCAACTGTTTAGGGTTTGACCTCTGCGGTTGTATCAAGCTGCGCCCAGCGGAGCATTTTATTGCTGTTTACAGTTTATCTTTATCTTCAATAATCAGCAAAATTTCCTTAAAATTATAAATTTAGTGGCAGCAACCCAACAATGGGTTGTTCAATTTGTCTGAAAATTTAAGGGCTAATAGATCTTGACCTACTGAACATTTTTACCCAAGTCAGATTTGCTCTTAATGCTTTAGTTTTTGAGCTATAAGCCAAAAACTGCATTTGACCCCTATGTTGTACTTTTAGCCATGCGGCCATGTTTGTTGATGGATCAAAACTTCGGATACAATTTATAAACTAGATACACTAAGGAACATTCAGTTTAAGTTTGAACGTATTTGGCCCAGTAGTATCAGAGGAGAAGATTCTTGTAATATATTACGTCGACGACGACGGACGACGGATAAGAACAGACGCCAAGTGATGGCATAACCTCACATCGGGCCCTTCGGGCACCTGTGAGCTAAAAATCAGTTGCAAATGGCCGAACTCAATAGATCAGTATGAAGCACAAAAAAAACCAGCTAAATAAAAACAATAGACACAATGCACCAATGTAAGAGTACTTGCAGCTACTTAAAGCTAGTTCGAAGCCAATTACAACTAAATAAATCATGTTCTCCCAGTATCAATCAGTACATATTCCATGAATTTAGTATAAAGAAGACATAAACAGTCTGAGAAATACACAACCTTGTGCAATGCCAAAATATCAGTTAATAGTAACAACAGGACATAGGAACCTATTTTTTTTAGCAGTGGGATAAAAAGTTTATTCATATAAAAGTATGAGTTTACATGTTCAATTTTATATACAAAACTAATAACTTCCTTTAGTTATTGTAAAACTATAAAATACTGAAAGAAAGTTGACTAAATCAAAACAATTCAATAATGATAATGATATGCTTTATTTCATTTATTTTCAGGTATTTTAAACATAATTGTGACTGTGATTAGAAAAAAATATCAGCAGGGAATTTCTGGTAGATGAATCCAGAAGTTTTGAGCGTTAAAGAAATAACATGTCTGTAATTAGATTTTGTTGTAAATAATACAGATATTGTGTTGATAGAAACACATTTTCTTAGAAGAATAAAGTGTAAAGCTATGAAATTTTGGAATATGACAGTTACATTAAACAATGGGAATAATTATGTACATGTATTATAGATTGATGTGATGTGTAAATTAAAATAAAACAATGCGAGTGTCAAATGTCCAAGGTTGGCTACCATAACTAAAACAGGAACTTCTAATTTGTTACTTATATATAATTGTAAAATTTGAAAGGTAAACTAATGAATTGCTCTGTAATATTCTGTTGATAGTATTGATACTTTTTTTTGAAGTTCTATGAACTGAAAACAAATGGATACTATTTCTACAATGAAGGGAGGGGTTGTGTAAGCTTGTATAAAAAATTAAAGGTAATTAGTTATCAAAGTGTGTTAATACACATGCCATTCATACCATGTATCTGGACACCTTATCACCTCAGAGATCTGTATGTTTAGACAGGCACATAAACATGTGGCCTGAAAAAAAAAAGATTTATAAAGCAAAATTAATAGTTAGGATACAAATTACAAAATGAAAGCCAAACATTAATGGGCCATGAGCATGAGCGAACAAGCACTTCTCTTTTAAGTGAATATGTCTCACCATTTCTCCTTATCAAATAAAAAGAGTAGTCAGTTCTTTTTATCAAATTTCCCTAGATTCTGAAGTAGTGTAAAATCTATTGTCAATAGTTATTGTCTCGCCTGCGACAAAAGATGCAGAAAGCAAGACATAGGTTTTGCTTTTCAGACGGCAACGAGAGAGGATGCGTCAACAATTGTTGATTTTTCTGCTTAATTCAGTTTGATAGGAACTACTTGTGATAGATCAATGATATTTTCTATAAAGTTCCATTACTATCAGTACAAATCAGTTTGACGACTATTTCGAGGCCCTGCTCCCTAGGTCATGTTCCAGTGACTTGGAATTAATAAGCAATTTTCAATATTAACCTTTCTGTTTAAGCCAGTTTGATAGGAAGTACTTGTGATAGATCAATGATATTGCATTACTGTCAGTTCAAATCAGTTTGATGACTATTTCAAGGGCCTGCTCACTAGGTCATGGTCCAGCTACTTTTAGTTGCAGTCCATCAGATTGTCTTTTTTCGAATTTTCTGCAGACAGGCAAGACATATCTCTGTGTCAACAATTTTTTCTTAATTTGATCAATATAGTCCTCTGTCATGTGTAATTTTTTTAACAATAGCCATAATAGGGTGGAAACTATTCACAAAAACAAAGCAACAAAGACGTGAGTGTTTAACGACCTTGACTGGCTATAAAGCCATTGAACGGTTGGCCTTTGCAGCAATGTCATGCTTTGTTTTTAGATTGCATGACACAACTTACATTGGTGATTTCGAATCTGTTCAAAGTTTTGATTTTTCTACCCTATATACCACTTTGCCTCATAATCTCATTATTAAAGAAAAAATTACATACCTAATTAATGATTAAATGGGCATTTAAAAAGTCAGAATGTGCATATGTTCAAACTCTTTTAGGTCATTATTTAGTACTGACAAACGAAAGAACTCTGTCAATTCAACATGCTTTGATATGATAACTGCACTTTTATTTTTACTAGATAACATTTCTGTTCGTTATGGAGTTTCTGTATATCGCCAAGGTGTTTTAATTCCAATGGGACTAACTGTGCACCACTTATTGCGGACCTGTTTCTGTGTTGTTACGAAAACAATTTATATTTAAAATCAGCAAAGACTGATTGATACAACATCTGACACAAAAGTTTAATAACACTTTTAGATATTTGGATGATATTTTGTCTCTCAATAATGACGACTTCAGTTTGTACACTTAAGAAAGTCATCCTGTTGAACTTACTTTAAATATTAACAATGAACGCTGCCCTTTCTTGGATCTTAATATCTAAATCTTTGATTGGAAGCTTAGTACTATAATTTACAATAAAAGAGATGAATTTTCATTTCCAATTTCCTATTGTTGATTATTCGTTTTTAGATGTTGACGTTTGCTTTGCACTATCATATGGGGTTTATTTATCTCAACTTGTTTGATTCGCTTGTGTATGTAACAACGTTTTTGATTTAACGAAAACAATCTCTGCATTACTGAAAAATTATTACACCAGGATATTCGATATCACAAACGTGTCAAAACTTTTATTTAATTTTATCATCGGTACAAGGACATCATTCATAAATTCATAAATATAAATCAACGTGCAAACATCTTATACATTCAGGTATTTCACATCCCATCTTTTATATTGATATTCTATACAATCACGAAAATTTCGTCAACACCTCAAAAGCTAAGCAAACCTTTAAAAAGACTTATTCACAAGGGATATAGTTACGACACTGATATCCAGTCGTTAAAGATGGAATTTTTCGGAAATGATGTAACGAAGACATACTCTTTACATCAGTTTAATGTAGGTCTGGAGCTGGCATATCAGTAACTGCTTGTAGTCCTTTGTTCATTTGTGTTGATCATTGTTAGTTTGCTTAGTTTCTTCTGTTACCTATTCTAACATCGGACTCTGACTTCTTTTGAACTGAGTTTAAATGTGCGTATTGCTATGTTTGTTTATTCCACATTGGCTAGAGGTATAGGGGAGGGTTGAGATCTCAAAACACATGTTAACCCCGCTGCATTTTTGCGTCTGTACCAAGTCTGGAACCTTTAGCCTTTGTTAGTCTTGTGTGTGTTTTTTTTTTATTTGGTTGATTTGTATAGTTCGGAATTGAGTGTGGCGTCCATTTCGCTGACCTAGTATACATTATTGTTTAGAGGTCAGCTGAAGCCCGCCTCCAGGTGCGGGAGTTACCGGCTGACATTAATACCCTTGGGCTGTTTTCATACGACTGCAAAAAATTTTGCGGTCGTATATTGGTATCACGTCGTCGTCCGCGTCGTCCGAAGACATTTGGTTTCCGGATAATAACTTAAGTATTAGTAAATAGAAATCTATGAAATTTAAACACAAGGTTTATAACTACAAAAGGAAGGTTGGGATTGATTTTGGGGGTTATGGTCCCAACAGTTTAGGAATAAGGAAATAAGCATTTTTCTAGTTTCCAGACAATAACTTGTGGAACGGTGTATGGATCTCTCTGAAGTTTCCATACAACAAAGGGATGGTTAGGATTGGCTTTGGGGTGTTATGGCTCAGACCGTTTAGGAATTGGGGGAAAAAAGTGAGAAAAAACAATGGTGTCCTGGTTAATGCACAATTACTTAAGTACAATGTTGTGTATGAATTACCTCCCTTACACTGCTTTTTAAATTATGTATAAGAAATGTATTGTCTTGAGGTGATTAGCTGTCAATTTATTTTTAAAAGTTACTATTTTAATAATTTTAAAAATGCTGATTAAGATATATTAATTTTAGCCATGATTATGTATGTCATTTTCTATTTTAAGACTTTTATGATGTATTTAAATGGGTTATTATGGTTGCAAACTCCACAGGAAATTTGAATTGAGATTATGACCATATTTTGAGGGAAAGATTTTTTTTGGAAAAAGGGGGGGAGGTCAATAAATTGGGGGGAAAGGGGTGGGGGGGGACAATTTTTTCTCCTCAAGATTTCAGAAATCAAAAGGAAAATTTCTTCAAATATTTTTTTTTTGAAAAAAGGAGGGGGGGGGGGGGGGGGGAGGAGGTAAAAACACATTTTTTTGAAAAAGAAGGGGGTAATTTTTTTTTGGGGGGAGGTCAATTCGCAACAGCATAGTGTATAGCGCAAGAGCCAAAAAAAAAAGGGAGGTACATTTTTTTTTGGGGGGGGGGGGGGGGTCAATTTGCAACAGCATAGTGTATAGCACAAAAGCAAAAAAATGAATATAAATTCAATTCATATAACCAATTCTAAGTTCTTTGACTACAGTTATTCTGTGTCAGAAACCTATTAAGTGTCAAATATTGAATTACAATCCAAATTCAGACCTGTATCAAGCGCGAATATTGTGTCCAATTTTGCCCCAATTAAGGGTTGGACCTTTGCGGTCGATTCCAGCTGCGTTCGGCGAAGCAATTTATTTACTCTTTTGTCGAATTGTTGTCTCTGACACAGTCATTGGTTTGTAGTGCTGCCTACCAACTAACATGACTAAAATTAGAACAATGTTTTTAAATGCAAGTATTGGTTATGAAAACTGTCAATAGACAAGAGAAATTCTGACGGGCAGAAATGTTTCCAATTCACGATTTATCTACTGCCCATCGATTTTTACCATTTTAAAAAGTTTTTGTCTATCATGAAAATTATATAAGGTAGAGAGAAACTTAGAAATGATCATTAAGACGAGCTCGACAAATGGATTAAATCGTTAGTCCACTCCTTACAAGAGGTGTTGTCCTTTAATGATAGATTATACTAGGAATGTCAATTCGGTGAAGGATAAATGATCGAGTACCTATTGGTTCTACCGAGCGTTACTCGAGTACTCTCTCGGATAATTTTCCAACAAAATCGGAAAAAACGTTACACGTATTTAACTCTTTTATGGTCGTTATCTAATGGACATCAAACTCTACATTATTATCTGGGACTTAATAATGTATCATAAATTGTAAACAAGGAAGAATTCCACTTAACCTCCCCCACCCTGACTTACGGAATAAACAATATATTCAGGTAAGGGTGGTTCAAAATGAAATGGAAGTCTTACCGATATTCAAAAGCGTGATGTTTAGAAGTCACTGAAGTGTTTAAGTTTTCACTTCTGTAAATGTAAACAATGCAATTTCCCATAGGAACTTTTTTTACAACTAAAACTATGCCCCTTTTATAATGAAGTTTCGTAAAAAAAATCATATCCTGGAATGTTCATATGCGCTACTATTTTTGCAAAGGCCAAAACATAGGACTGCGGCATATTTTCAACATTCATATGCCTTGAACTTCGAAGAGTTTCAACTTAAACTAAAATGCTGTACTACCCTTTCCTTTAATTTGAGTCTTCCTGAGAATTCAATTTGTCCGCTATCCAGTAGTATTTATACTGATAAAACTCCCAAATTGTGTCTCTATAAGATGAAACATAGAGATCCTACCTGGGAACCAGTAGGTAAACAAAATAAAATATCTATGAATATTTAATATCTCTCCAAAAGAGACGTGGTTTGTAAATGAGCTGTTTTTACCAAGTGCACCTTTACAAACATATTCAAATAGATAAATATGTAAAAACACTTTTTATCAAAACAATACTTATTTATCAGAATCACAGTCTAAAATCACTGCTTATACTCTAAATTTGTTTTTACAGTACATTCAACACCCTCAACTCTGTTTCAATTTGTATGCCCCCGCCGTAGCGGAGGGGGCATTAAGTTTTACCATTGTCCGTCTGTACGTCCGTCCATCAGTACGTCCATACGTCCCATGATTGGTTTCCGTGCTCTAACTTTAGTTTGCCTCAATCAAATATTATGAATCTTGTACACAATGCTTATTGCCACAAAACTCAGATTAAGAAAAAATTCGGGTAGCGTCACTTACCTTTCTTGAGTTATGTCCCTTTATAACCTTATATACAAGCGGGGGCATCATCTATGTCCCATTGACACATCCCCCATTTATTTAATTTTTAAAGAATTTTAAAACAAGATTTTTTAAAATTATTGTCAGCCTGCCCTATTTGCATGTTTACTGAAACTGCTCTGATAACAAATTGAAAACAATGTCATAATACTATAAATGTAAAGTTTGATAATTAATCATTCTAACATTTTAGATTATATAACGTAACCAATTCGGATACTGTCCCAGTCTACATCTTACTGTATGCCCATTTATTTTTAAAAGTTAAAAATCACTGCCTAAAGTGGCCAGCTTAGAAATCTTGTCATAATCTTATCATCTCTAAAAAAGAGGCGAAAGATACCAAATGGACATTCAAACGCAAGTCCCTAACCACATATCTAACATAATTGAACTTATATATGAGCTAGAAGTGCTTAAACAAAGCTATTTTTGCAACAGTTGTATTTATGAAGTTACCAGTTGGATATATAGGTGTCAGACCACTACCTATTCAACCATATTTGCAATGTTCACAGCTTTCTAAATATCTTACCTGAACTTGAACTTCTTAGAAACTAGGTATATCCTGAATCATACATGTATCACCCTTTTTACATGCAAATTTTCAACCAATGTTTAAAGTCTTGTACTTGTAGTGAAAGTCTAACGCTCGGAAGACAAGTACTACTAAAAAAAAACCCTGGTTTTCTGG